TTTCGGTAAGATGTGGTTCGGTAGCCCCACCTGATTGACACAATACTGCTGGGGTTAGAATTAGGGGCTGCGGTTAGGGTTATGGCTAGGGGTTAGCGTAACTATTTCTCAACCATTCAAAGTAAAACCGCGCATCCCCAATAGCTCTTCTTTTGCATACAACTACTTGACCTCGTCGCCTGTGCGTTTCCCGGCCCCATCTGTAAAAACCCCTATTACCACTGGTCCCGTATTAGAGGTGACTGGGATTTGTTTACTTCAGGCTACCAAACCACATCCGACCACTATTCCATGAAGGGTGGCTTACTAGCTTTTTTCTAGCGCAAGAAGGCCGTTTTTTAGGGGAATGGGTACGTTTTGTTAGCGGCCGCGACCAGTTAGCCTGTTTCACTAGCCTGTCGGAAATTGATTGACTCCCTTCGTTCACACGCGTAATCAGCTGATCCTGTCGTGCGTTCACTCTGGCTGGGCTTTGTTCCCACATTCTTCATCACTATCCGAATTGTACCACACCTCGTCGTTGCTCCGTCCTCGGATTGCACCTGGATGGGTTGACTCATCGCGGCAGTCTTGACCGCTGAGTAGCGCTAGGGCGTTTAATCGATTATTCTGGCTGTGGTATGCAGTAGAGCCAGCCAATGAAATTGGAGTCAGTCTCTGCGTGAACTGCAAGGCCTCTGGGTCGATTTCATGCACCGGTTTGTATATGCACAGCGTCTGCAAGGCGTGTGCGATTATCATCGGTTTGGCATACTTATCGTACCATTGTCCGCTCCGCTGGTTTATGTTTACGTCTGATGTGCTGTTAGCCGACGTCCCGATCACTTCCGGTCGTGCTAAAGTTAAAAGTTCAAGCAGAGCTCTGTGCGTGACAGCATACGGTGGGGTGTTGACCGTGAACTGGGGTAGAGAAAGTCAGGACAAATTTGTTTACTGCCTGGCTGAGCTTCCGGCCTGTGTGTTTGGCTCAATACTCGGTCTAGGTCGTCACCGTAGTTGTTATTGCCGCTTTTGAACCTTTTTAACTGCTACATTGTCCTCTGCTCTTGAAAATGAAGAGGCATTTTGGGAATCACTACAGCTCAGCGAATATTCCCATGTTACAATTAAAAAGTCAAGCTGGCAGATACGTGTTTTCGGTAACTCGTCATCAGGCCAAAACCGTTATATAGAAGTTGAAATTATGCGAAGTTACAGGGCTTACAAGTGATTCAGGGGCTATTAACAATCATCGTTCCCACGCCACTCGCATGGCCAGGCGTGCTATGGCGTCGTCGGCGTGTCGTGGTCATTGGGTCAAGGGGGCGAGGGGAGGGGGACATAGGTTGTGAGTAATGTTTGTACGTCAGGTACTTTATGCTCGCACCACTGCCATCAGGAGGTTGGGGTCGGCTTTGTTCACGGAAGATACGAATCACCGAGTCGATGCCAAAGAAGCCTTTCAGGTTGTCTACCAGACGCCAACAAGCTTCTTCAGAGGCCTACGCCAACGGGTGCTAGCTACAGCCGAGGCAGGGGCTATATGGCTAGCCAATCCAGTGCTATGCTGTCAGAAGACTCTGACGCAGGCGCTCTGTTTTCCGTGGCCAACGCCGACCCCAACGTCGCCCCAACCTCCTGATGGCAGTGGTGTGTGCTCAACGTACCCGATGTACAAACATTGCTCACAACCTATGTCCCCCTCCCCCTTCACCCAATGACCACGACACGCCGACCACGCCATAGCACACCTCGCCATGCGAGTGGCGTGGGAAGGATGACTGTTAATAGCCCCTGAATCACTTGTAAGCCCTGTAACTTCGCATAATTTCAACTTCTATGTAAGTGTTTTGGCCTGATGACGAGTTACCAAAAACACGTGTTTTCCAAATTGACTTTTCAATCACTACTGACCTGGCTGTAATTTGCCTGTAAATACCCTGCATCCGACTTCTCCGTAGCTTTATTTATTGCGGACGTTTAGATTTTACGACTACCCCACTGTGGGTTGGAAAGTGCCTTTTAGGAGTGGGACAATACAAGTATGCGAACGGATGTGCTCATTTCGAACGTTTTTATGGTGGTCAGTTACGTGTATCCCAATCCAGGCTATTTTGACCTAATCCTGCTGTTAAGGGTGCGCTACAGGTCAGTACCTCGACACTGAGCTGTCTCGTATTCTCCTGTTGAACTCGAGAGTAAACAGAAGCGGTGACCTTGATTACTATGACCTATTGTTTGAATCTGATCTTGCAGCCGTCCCTAAAATGGCTAAACCCCGACGGCCTAAAATATGGGAATGGTGGTAAGAGGGATTTTACGGGTGGGGCAAACAGACACGTCAGTGAGATGGCTGTGAAGAAATGCGTTAGTGAAGTGTGCGATAAATTTTTGAATGAAACTGGGGCTGAAGCGCCAATGATGAAAACTCGGTAGGGATCCAACCAGCCAATCGAATGTGACAACGTGTGGTCAAAGTCATTCGGCATGGTGTGCGGCGGCACGTGATGAAGATTATACTGCTTAACTACTGATTTGCTTTGGATATGCTAGATTATGCTGAAATAGCACAACTGCACACTACTGAAAAGGAAAAGGGCAGTCTTGTGCCCGGGTTTAGAGGTATGGTTAGTCCCAGGGCTTGAGTTAGTGTGCAGGTTAGGCTAAGGGATAGGGTAAGGGTTAGGGTTGTCCTCACCCAAATCTAACCCTTATTCAGACAACTCGAGGGTTAGAAGGAAACGATAAACGCCAGGCCAACATAATTACGCCTACTGAAAACTCAACAGTATTATGTCCTCTATGTATGGCCGCGCTGTCAGACCTTACCAACCTGGTTAATGACGCGAAGAAAGTTTCTAAAATGTGTCCAGTGATGGGCAGTTGCGTGCATCGCCAACTCGGACGTGTTTGTTGGCCAGCTTCAAACTCCACATCGACGCTAACCGTCTGGGGTAAGTGCCGGAAGCCCACCCAGTTTACGACGACCACGTCTAGCCCTCTACCAGTACGAAACTGCTCGTTGGATTGCCATCGACAGACTTGTGGGCCATGACCATCATGGCGATGCGTGGCGATTTTGTTCAACTCTCTGCTGCGTCAAGGCTATTCACCGTGTCTATGAACGGTTCCAGACGCGCTGACCTTACAGTCTGACCGACGGCAGCCGGTGCACACACGCGTAACCTGAGCCGGTGCGACCGCTTGAAAAGTGTTCGCCGATCCTGTTACGAGACACACTCGTCGCATTGCTTCATGGGGCTCAACCTGAAGCCCTCACAGGTCATCGCATAGTGATCAGTACTTTTAAAGACATGGGTAACTTTGGGGAGCCATTTCCGGCGTGGCAGTCGTCGTCAGCCAGACATAACCAATCCCAGGTGGAGTTAAATCCGGATTTATGGTCACTGAGAGTCTTGGTATGGCCGGCTGGCGACGTCTAATAAGGCAGAAACGGCCATCCC